TATCAAATAGGGTATGACTTTATATTGTATACTTTTATAGGTTAATAAAATGTGGTTCCCAAACAATTATCGCACTGACATTAATATTTATAATTATAACGATGGCAAAATACCTATATAGCCTATACAATATACATATACATTAGCCCAAAAAAATTGCGTCATACGAAGATCCCTGTTTTTCTGTATATTTTTTTTTTGTAAGTTTTTATGTTGGTATAGGGTCTTAACACGTGTGTGTGTGCGGTACACTGTGTACCAAAAATATATAATATGGTGCTAAAAAACCCGGATGGTCGCCCATCGGTGAACTTGCAACGGCGGCTGGTATACGTACTGCACTTTGAGGGTTTTCGCAAATTGAGAGCCTCACCAAGCCACATTATACCTATATAGTATATACCTACTTTTATAATACCACCAAATATGTCATATTGCCATTGAAAACGTACTAAATGGTTAAAATTAATTTTTATGGACATTGTGCGTTGTATCAATATACAATATACATATCTATGATATTTTGGCTAATATACTGTCTATGTAGTACAAAAAAATATATTATATAATATATGTATAGGCGCATACCTATATACACTCTTCCGAATTCTGCGAGTTATAAGAATAATAATATATTACCACCTGTGTATATATATGTATATAGTAGGTATATTAGTATATCATAAACTATATTATTAGTATAACTTATATAGGTACTATTCCTACATGGTTATGTAAATTAAACTGTTTTATTATGCATGTATATAATAATATGCATACAAATACAAACAAAATAATGTTTTTGCCTTTTATGCAGTACCTATATAGCCTTTATACGTGCGGCTGGGTTTATTAAATGGTATATTTTATGAACAGCGATTATTAATAAGATCTATTTAGTGTAATATTTTTTATTTTAATTCTATAACTAATTGTATATATATTGCTCTGATCTTAATTGCTTTTAACAGTTGTGATACATAGATATAAGATCCGATTTTTAATCGTTATATTATAGTATACCGTTTTAATTTGTATTCAGCAATAACTTTCTTCTAACCCATAATAATATGCCCATAAAAATAAAATATTTCAATTACAAATAATTTATATAGTATTATAGCTACAGCATGTGATCGTAAAAATATTTACATATGATATATATACTTATAAGTTATATTTTATATAGATAAACTGTTGGATTGATAAACTATCATATTATAAAGAAATATAGTTAGGTATATAATATATAACAATACATATAGTATACTTATTACTTATAATATATAATATATATGAGAGGTACCTATATTTTATTAGTTATCTTCATTGACCTATAATGACTATTTTGAGATGATTTATCTATTTAAATCATATATAAAATGCTGATAATTACACAGTATCTATACCTATACACAAATGCTGTAGGTATACCTATACTAATAGCTTATACTTGTAGAAAATAATAAAATGTGGTGATTATAACATTATATTATAATTAGTAGATAATTATATACTTTCTATTTTTACAAATCATTATACGTATTTAGTATAGGTACATTATAAGTTTATAGTAACTAAAAAACTACTTGTTAAAATTTCAATGTAGGTGGTTTAATATATAATAGGCGGTGTATAACATAATATTATAGGTTAGGTTATTAGTTATTATAATGGTTAATGAACCCTATACTAAATAGTGCTTACATATCATCTATGTATGTACTATTACGTAGATAAATATAAGTGTTCATCTATATACCTATATATTTATATACACATACAATTTAATGTTAGTATAATATGCTCTGTCTAACTATTATTACACATGTCCAAATAATATATTGTATTAAATTATTGTTGGCCGCCATGGTGACAACTGACAAGCTGTTGTAGACAAGAAACGAGTGAAAAATACGGGATTATTATGATATACTCGAGCGTTATGTATATTATACAGCACGCTTCGAGCTGCAGCTGTCAACGGGCATAAATCAAAAAATTAACAATATTAGAAACACACCTATTCTAAACGTTTTTGTTTTAAGTCTCCCTGACACGCAGAAACACGGTTTGAGGTTTATATGAATTATATATATATTTAACTCGTTCCAAACTTACATTTAGTGTATGTGGTCATAGATATATCTATAGCTAATATGGGTACCTGTAGGTACCCATAAAATTAAGCCCTGAGTTTTTTATTATATAGACTATATAATTTACTCTGCTAAAATTTTTAAATAACTATGTATTATATTTATATATCAAGTAGGTAAATATGTGATATATATAGATATAGGTATTTGTACCTATTTATTATTATTATATAAGTCTATATATAGAACACACGTTCTATAATATTTACAACAGTTGTCAGGATGGACAATTTAAACTCACCAGTGGGCCAGTTTTCAGTTTTTAAAATTTAAAAACGGTCTCTTATTAATAACCTTATTTTTTAATCCATAAAAATCAAAATTATTTTAAAACGCAGCGGGGGTCGTATAAAAGGGTATACGCGGACTGCATGGCGTCCATCCCTGCTGATATACAACAATATATATTATGGATGGTTTAAATCGATGATGAAATGATTCGATATTATACACGCACGGGTTCCTGCTAACTGCCTAGCTATACTATTATATAGTAACCTATAGCTTATATTTTAGGCAGTGAAAATGCATGGGAAGCATCGATTACAGTTTGAAAAATATTGTATGAACTCTTATACATCCTATATGCCTATATATTATGTTTATTATTAGATCTTACTTTGGCGAATCAGCTAGTACAGTAGGATATATATATATATAGGTCTTACAATAGCATATTTACTTTTCTCTTGTAATATTTCAAAATACATAGATATATTATTGTTTTTATATTATGGACATATTATATATATAGATACCTATATGCTATATAATAAGACATCGATAAATTTCATAGTTAGTACAATCCTTTTGGCCTTTAATAATACCACATACTATACTGCATTTGATATAATATGATATATGCTCACATAAGGTATTCGTGTAGGCACTGGCGTATTAAGAATTTTTTTTGGATAAGGAGGGGGGAGGTGTGTGAAAAAAAATTGATGATGAAGAAAAGGTGATGTATAAATAAGACTATATATACACGTCTATATATACCATAATAAGATATTATGTACATTATAATGGTCATTCACTATCATGTAGCTATATTAACATTATAATATGTGCAGTATATATAAACACCTACATAAATGAGTTCCACATTTTGGTATATTTTAGTACCTACACATATACCTACGTGTAATTACTCTATGTGACTATGCATGATAGGTATACTATAAAAGAGAATATATTATTTTCAGTAGATATAGTTACTAAATATTGTATATTTTTTTAAATATACATATAAAATATATGTATACTGCAAACTGGTACAACAATATCATGATCACCGTTAGAATTTGAATAAATTCACATCGGTATCAATATAGAGTTCAAGGGATGAATGTTTACAACAAATGTGTGAAAAAAAAACGGAAACTATTTAATAATATTATAGGTTGAGGTAATAAGGGTTTTCAACATGTGCATCGCGGCTCCCTTGGACGTCATCACTGTTTATTATCAAGGGAGCCTCGTTCACAGTACAGAATGAATACATTTGTTTATTTTATTAATATAATTATTTGTATAGGAACCGTTTAAATTGTTATTATTGTATTTAAATCAGGAGAGCGAAATATATATGGATTCAAAAAGGTTGAAAATCCCCGAGTTAGGGTATAATGCTATATAGTATTTTATAACTATTTAGGTACCTATACGTTTACTTATACGAACCGGTTTTATAATAAAATTATATTCTATTATGTTAGAATCGGTTTGTCATTATATAGGTATATATACTTAGCGGTTGGAGCTTATGTAATACATATTAATTCATATGTTTAACTTACATGTAAACAATTATCAAAATATTACAGTTGAGCTTGTATGAACCCTGCAGCACACATATAGGTAATATAGCTGTACCTATAAGGTATATAACAATATTTATCAGCGTTTCTTTTACGCGTGTTTGATGTGAGTTTCACAGCAGTAGTCTTATGTATAGGTTATAGGTACCTTTAGTACCAGCTCTTGCACGTGTAGGTACCTATATATTTATAAGTCATCGAGAAACGATTTAACTGAACAGCTAGTTTTCGACTTCAAAGTGCCATTGTTTGAGGGCGATATATATATAATATATTATACATATGCACATGTATGCATTATGAGTGGGTGTGATACATTTATATATATATCATATATTATGTATACATACAGGATAATATTACATATACTAGACGACGAGAAACAGGCAGAGAGAGGGGGGGGAACACGATTGAGTGAGAATATGAGAGAGGCAGCAAGAAGAGACAGTAAAAGACAGTGGGTGAGGGAGAAAGAGAGAGAGAGAGAGAGAGAGAGAGAGAGAGAGAGTGAAAAAGAGAAAGAGCATTATCTAATTATTTGCGTTTGCATATCATATACATAATGCCAATGTATATACATGCATATATATATATGGGTAATCTATGGTGGATGTAAATAATGCGAGAGCCGCGGCCACAGTGGCGGTTGGTTACCGCTGAGGAAGGTGGCGGCGGTGGGGTTGGGGTGGCAGATTTATAGGAGTGTGGGAGGGGGGGGGGTCGAACAATCCGCATTGAGGTTGCCACCGGTTATACAGTTGGCACAATCGCTGAGCGGCAGTTTGTCTCGGACAGGATGGATGAGCGCGTATACAATATCATTATATGTATATATAATACGCAATATACAAAGGATGATAATATTGTGATCACCTAGCCGCCGCCGCCGTTTGTGTTTTACCGCACGCCCATTCGGCGGGTTCATGCGTGTCCACACCCATCGCGTTCGCTTGACGGCCACGCCCACCGCATCAGCGGCCGCCGCCACCGCAATCGTCGTCGTCGTCGCCGCCACCGCTATACCGACGCAGCAGTCGACGGCTCAGTGATAATATCGCGCGCCACACGTCAACGTGAACCAATAATAGACTACGGATCCGCAGCAGTCGTCGCCGCCGCCGCCACCGCCGCGTACGCCTATAATCAGTTCATCGCCGATACAGTTTTCACTTTTCCGAACGCATAAATATAAATAAATACCGTTTCGTATATTATATTGTTTTTTGCTCGGCAAACCGATTTTTTTCGCACTCACGAACCTTCGACGTCGTTTCGTTTTTGTCCGCGACGCCCTTGTACACGTAATTATTTGCGATAGTAATATAATAAGCCATTTTTTTCCGATTATTAATCTTCGAGCTCGTTTCTTCCGTCGTACATGACGTGCGAGACTGTGACCAAATGTGCTGCGTGGTGATCGGCACCGCTGGCATGCAGGACGACGATCACCACAACCTTCTCCACCATCAGCACCACAACAACAGCAACCGTCATCACCAACAACACCACCGCAGCAGTAGCACCAGCAGCAGTGGTAGCGGTAGCATCGGCGGAGGCGCTGTGCACCTGGCCACCTCGACCACCTCATCCGCCGCAGCTGCGGCCGCAGCGGCCGCCGTGTTTCTGCCCGTCTACGATTTCAGCCGCCGATACCAGGCTGCCTTGGATTCGGTTGCCATGCATCAGGTCGTCAGCCCGCTGGACTTAAGGGGCGTCGGTGGTGGTGGCGGCGCCGCATCCGCCGCCACCGTGATGGTGCAGGCCGGCTCGAGGCCGGCGTCGGTGTCACCGCCGTGCAGCGTCGGCTCGGCCGAGACGACGGACGTCAACGTGGATTCAGCCGACGACGATGACGATTACGACGCAGCAGCCGTCGCAGCCGGGTGTAACGACAACAACAACGGCGGTGGCCGCCGCAGCAAGACGACGTCGCCGGGCGCACAAGCAGGTGGCGCGTGCAGCGAAGACGGTGACAAGACGTCGGGCACTGGTAACGGATCGCCCGTCAAGCCACCGTACAGTTACATAGCGCTGATTACCATGGCCATACTTCAGTCGCCGCACAAGAAGCTCACGCTTAGCGGAATTTGCGAGTTCATCATGTCTCGGTTCCCGTATTACCGCGACAAGTTCCCGGCCTGGCAGAACTCTATCAGGCACAACCTGTCACTCAACGACTGCTTCATCAAGATTCCTCGGGAACCAGGCAACCCGGGCAAGGGCAACTACTGGACGCTGGACCCGATGGCCGAGGACATGTTCGACAACGGCAGCTTCCTTCGCCGGCGCAAGCGGTACAAACGCATGCAGGCCCCGTCGGACTTTTTCATCCACCGAGGGGGCGACCACCATCACCAGCACCATCCGCACCATCCCCATCACCATCCGCACCACAATCACTTTGCCGCGGCCGCGGACCCGTACTCGGTGTTGCACCACCACCATCACTACCCTTACCATCATCTCGGGCCACCTCCGCCACATCTACAGCCGCCGCACCCTTCGCAGTCCCAGGCACAGCCTCTGCAGCAGCAGCAACAGCAGCAAGGCACTCAGTCACAGCAATCCTCGCCGACGCAGCCTGCGGCCGCCATGCAGCCGCTGCAGTTGCCGGCCGCTGAGCTGGCGCGCATAACGTTTGGTCTGAACCTGCTGCACAACGGACAAGTGGCCGCTGCCGCAGCTGCAGCAGCTGCAGCAGCCGCGTACAAACCGCAACAGCCATCACAGCCACTGGCGTTGCACCAGCACGGCAATCTGTTACAGCCGTCGTACGCGACCACTGTAGTGGCCGGCGGCGGCCGGTTGGCTGTCAAACAGCCGTCCACCGGGTTCAGCATCGACTCCATCATGGGCAAGAGGCCGTCACCAGCTGGGCCGCCGACCAACTTGTCACCGGCCCGACCCGGTGGCCGTCACCCGCTGCAGTAGCGCGAGCTGGACGATGACGATGAAGACGACGGCCACGACCACCGTGATCACCGAAGTAGCCGTCACCATGACGCCGCGGTCGTCTCGCCGCAGCCGTCGGCCAGGCAGAATTTCGATTCGGCGTTCACACCGCTCCAGCAGACCACGTGGGCCAGGTGATGATGTGACCGCCGCCACCACGCGGTCACGTGTCACTCAACGCATGACATGGTAAAAATGAAATTTTTACTGTTTTGTCATGCGGAGGACGTGCCGAACGATTAAATGTACCAACAAACAGCTTGTTAAAGGTAAAAAAATATATCGTATTATGTAATTATTAGTTTAATATTTTGATTATTCAAATGTTGGTAGTATATGATAGACCCAATAATCACTAATTCATTAATCATAAGCTCATAATATAATAGTATTATGTCCTAATACCTACTTATAATTCCGAAAATAATTACCACCCGTTTGACTACCATATAATAATATAGTTCATACCCATAGTAATTAATGCGCATTATTTGTTTTGGTAACTTAAACAATCTACCTAAAGGTATTAGTTATGATCACCCTCAAATCAAACAATTAATTGTATTTATTTAAAATCAATTTTTACAGATAAAGAACCATTTAAAAAATAAAATAAAAAATAATGTCAAAAATCAAATCCATCAAGTTATTTTATAATTAAACCTAAATACAAAAATAATGTTCTTTTCAAAGATTATAAAACTTATTGCAGTTATTAATTTCTTTCTTTTTAATATCTGTGGTATTATAGACAGTACCAATTACAGAAGAATCAATTATTTCGACCATTTTCGTTTTGTTTTTCTAAAATTGATTACTAATTGATCATTAATGAATTGGAAAAACAGACCATCCGTATAATTATACTGACAAATTCCTATATTCCATTATATTGTATTGAGGTACTTAAATTAAGGTACTCACTGATAATAAGCCAATGACTCAATACAACTTAATAGATAATTGTATTCAAATTATCAAAGTATAGTTTATGTTGGGCTGTATATTTGATAGGTATAGAAGAGGGTACGTCATCATTGAGTAGGTCACCACAGCTTTTGTTCTAGATGGGTAAAATTTGAATTATAAATGATAGGGATACATGTTCTAGCTTCTATTTTTTTGAGGACATTTTATAATTTCCTTATGTCATTACTATATAAGGTTACATTAGGTTATATTATTTATATGGTTTTTTGAATTAATTTTTGCCAAAATCATATATATATATATACTATACATACATTTATATAATAAATACTTACTTACTGTGTAGGTATGTATATAATACACGTTTATTATATCTTCCTGATTTCGCCCAGGAAAAAATTAACAGACATAAAATACATACATACACCGCTTTATTGCGGTATCTCTACTTACGGGAAAATCGGCATCGGTCTATCTATATATAGAGATAGCTTTGTTTGCATAACTCTATCGATCTGGGCAATTAGTCTAATGGTGGATTAGCTAAATATAACACTATTGATACTTGTATTTTCTAACACGTGGTTCAAAATTGTCTCACCAAACTTGTTCCTGATATATCTAAGAACAGTCTCTGAAACTTCCATCAAAATTAGTCAAGTATTTGTTGTGTCTATGTATAAGGACTTTGTATTTTGTTGTACATTCGAGTAACAAACGACAATATAAAAATATGATGCATTTTTATTTAGAACAAATTCCATAGTAACTCAGTCGGTTAGTTTATATTTTTTAAAGTTTATTTCTCTAACCAATGGTCACCAAACAAAAAAAATTAGATCTTCGAAGTAAAAAATGAACTTCATGTGTGGTCTTATTATTATACCAATTTACGTAAGGGTGAAAAAAATATCAAAACAGCCTCAGAGTCTCAACAGAAATCTATTGATATAACTTTGATTAAAATCGATCCATTAATGGATAATTATGACTATAGTTTTTGCAATTTATAATATATTATAGTATGGATTATAAGAATATATTCTGCAAGGTGCAGCCTGTACCTATATCATTTTATACTTGTATTATTAACTTGTCTATATAAGTGAGTACCGTAGATAGAGGCGAATAGGTATAAATATTTTAAAGCTTGTCTTAATATTTTGAAATTTTCATTTTAACGTATTCCTATAAAATAAAATGTATCGAGTTTCTAAGATTATTATTTTTTGAATTACCTACGTAAAATCGTTTGATACCAAATTGCTATAATTCTTGCAATGTTGTCAACATTTGATTTTCTAACACTTATTCGAAATGAATAGATGTATGCATGCATCAAACCATGTTTTACCGTGGTTTACGTCAATCTTTTTACTAAAACTCCAGTGCCTAATGAAAAATTGTGTATATCATTTAACTTTCAAATCTTGAGTTTTAAAATTAAAAGTGTTCTATATTTCTGACACTCAAATAATTTGTAAATGTACGTGATATGGACGATTGCCGTCAAAATCTAAACTGTCGACGACTATGTATAAAATAAAATTGTGGCTATAGATATATTTTCTATTCCTGCAGCAAGAAAAACTTATGACTTATGAGAATACTTATTGTAATACATTTTCAAGGTTTTTGACTAAGTAAAAACAATTTCATCTGCATCAATAAAAAAAAAAACTAAAAAAGTGAAATATTGCAAATATATATTATATAGTGCGTATATTATGAGTATGTATACTATATTATTTAGTAGTAGCTTAAAAAAAGACAAAATATTTTGAAAATAATATCATGTCTATATGATATTACAAAGCTTTGGTGAAAATTTGAAGTAGGCAGGTACTTACAGTTATTTATTTTTGAATAAGGTTCAACAAAATAATAATGTTTACCCCCTATATATACAGAGTACTAATGTTGGATCCAACCACTCAAAATTTGAACGTTGAAACATTTATACTTAATACTATTGCTCCAGAGGGTGAAGACAGGCATACAAATTAAAATACACAAACTTCACCAACACATTGTAATCACTCTGCTCAGAATCTAAAATGACAAAATGATTATTATTCATTAGATAGATATATTAATATGTAAAGCTTTGTACCAACTACTGGGCGCAATCGACTCATTTATATTCATGGGCTTATGACTATTTGGTTTTTTATTATAGCATGACTACCATTAATTTCAACAAATTTAATTACAATATGTATTTACTTGCCGGTGTAGGTATCTACTATAAGAATCGATTGAATTATATTATATATGATATTATTATATAGATAATATAAAATTGTAACCACCTATCAACATAATACCTATTATAAGTACCTACAGTTGCATTGTACATTTGTATTAGATTACCGAAATTTTTCATATATTATCAACATATAATTAAGTCTTTTTGTAATCATTATTCAAACATAACTTTAATATTTGTGCTTAATTTCTATTTTTCAGCAATATCGAAGATTCGTAAAGCCGTAGTGCAGACGAATCGTACTGATGCACAGTCGGTGTCATTTCTCATCTAGTCCCAATTTGTCCAACAACCCTATTACAATTCAGACGTATGATTATATACATTATACAATACTTATGTAATAAACATATACTTATTTATATCTTATAAATGCGATTTAGTATAATTATCGTAATAGTAATAATAATAATAATAATAATAATAATACAAATAATAGTGCAATACATATTTTAATTATTATAGAATATATTGATAATATATTATTAATTATTATTATTATTATTATCATCATCATTATTATTTATCGCAAATACTATTATAATATTGTACATAGCCTATATTATTATAATATTATCATATTTATGTATGATCCTCGTTACCAAATATTCTTATTATATAATTGTTTTTTATTATTATTATTATTATTATTATTATTTATTGTCGTAGTGTTTAGAAGACGTCGTGTAGAATACAACTGTGTACATACTTATTATTATTATTATTATTGAACGTTTGTAGAAAAAAAAACGGAATGTAATAATTCTTAAACTAATATGTATAATTACATTTAATTTATTATAAATTCGCCGTTGATATTATATTACATAATAATATTATAATGTTATTAAACGTATTCCTTGTATACCTTTACATTATAATGTATTTTATATATTATACATGAATGATGATAATATAATAATAAAATAATTATATGTTTAGGTACGTCACATGATTATATTATTATTTATTATATATTAAATAATATATAAATTAAACAAAACGAGTCAGTTAGTGTAATGTATCTATTTTAAGTGCTGTGTTATTTTAGAACAATAAGAGAAAACGTTTAAAATAAAAACAATAAACGATCGTTTCGTTAAAATAAAATTACTGTATATATTATATTATTCTTTCCTCTTCGCCTACCACCGGCTTGAGAGTCCAGACCGTCCTTCGTCTCGACAGTTTTCCTCCGTTGTCTACACACACACACACACACACACACACACACACACACACGCATCCACTAAAAATACACATTACATAACACGGATGATACGACGACGTGTGACAACATGTTTACTAGTAGGCAGCTGTAGTACAGGACAGACACCTTGGCTAGACCGATGACAATATCATTATTGCATTAGATAATTGAATAATTATATATTATGAACTCTTTAATTTCACAGAGCTATTATACCCATATTATTATTATATTCTTGTGTTTTAGGTATCTCTACACACTAAAAATATTATTGAAGCGCACTGTCGCTTTTCCCTATCCTAATTTTTAGCCGAATGATAATCAATATTTTCAACGTAGTAGCTAAGCGCCAATAATAGTCGTATACTCGTATTTCTTATTTCTTATTTTGTATATTATTATGTTAATAACAATATAATATTGTTAAAGGTATTTTAGAATATTTTTCTTTATTTCGATTACATATCATAATGTATAACCTAATCGCGTAGTTATGCATTTTGTGGAAAATTATAAAACTGATTTTTTATCTCTGAAAGTAAACAATAATAGTTTAATTAATTTTTTATATCTCGTCATAGGCCGACCCCTCCCTCCAACCATTGATCATACATTATATTTCGATACCATTATTAATGTCTCATATTTTCGCTTGTTTTATATTTTGCAGATTTGTGGATTTTCAGATCGACTGATTAAATTAATCAAATGTTTCAGATATTATAGTATATTTTATTATATGTACCTATTAAGCACATTTTCGTTTTTTTTCTGCATGCTATATTATGTGGAACAGTTGTATTATTAAAATTTAGATGCTGAAAATTGAGAGATTCTTCATTCTTGAAGCTAAGATGTTCAACCATAAAAGTTATATCACCACATTGATATAGAGGTGTACTTAGAGGTAGAGAGGATAACCACAAAATACACGAGAATTATATATTATAAATTCGTATGATAGATGTAAAAAAAATATTTATAATTTCTTCAGTTTGCACCCATGTAAAAATAATTTTTATACAAAACGATAACTTAAAAATGTTACGCCTATATACTTACTACGCGTTTTGTTTAACTTTCAAATTCTTAATGAAAATGACAATAAGCGATAAAATACATTTTAAAATTTTTCCCAAATTCACAAAGACATATCTTAACTGATTATCGCTAATACGTATACTATTTGCGAAAAACCTGGTCATAGAGTTTAAAAAAAAAGATTAGGAAATATTACAAATAATTGTATTTTCTATAATTCAAAAGTTGTCTTTTTAAAATATGTATATTTGGTTGGTAGGTAGGTGTAAGTTTCAAATTAAAATTGTAATCACGAATATAATATGCACTTTTACTGACATATAATTGCACTTTCTCTGCTAGTATGTGTCATGACGAGTATAGCTAAATCACCCAGCCTGCAATGACTTATTAAACCATTTTTATACCTATTACGATATTATTATTTTAATAATGTGGTTGAAACTCAGTTGCCATAACGTCAAGTATGCGTATAATCTCTTTCGATTACGTCTTCGTTTTGTTTTTACTTTGTCTGGCGGCTAATTTCTATTTTTTTTTTTACACATACATAGGTCCTATGTCAGTATAATAATAATTATGGTAGACGGATGGGCAATGGCGTATTTTTTATTTTTCTTGGGAGGTATTCAATATGCCAAAATACTAATTATATAATAACTTTAATTCACTACATCTAACATTCAGTTTAATATGCTTTATAATAATAACAGCTAGCAGAATAAAAGCAGGCATAGTATTACAATGTAGTATAAATATCTAGGTACCTACACAATTTTATAATTATTATTATTTTTACGACATCATGATCTATTTTTTTGATGAATTGTACGATAATTATATTAAATTATTATACTATTTACTACCTTTGTATAGTTATAAAACCGTAAATTGTTCACGCTAAATGCATTCACCACCGTGCTGTAGTAAATATAATATAGTATAATAATTGTCTTGGTTGTTGTTGTTTTGTTTTGCCTATTAATATTCAACTTATTATCAGTCAGCTTAATATATTATTTTAAACATTATTAAGTCATTTAAATGATTCTGGAATTTCATTAAAGTACCTACGTCAAAATTGTTGTTATGTTCCAATAATAATATTTATCTTTAATTACACGTTCCACGTATAATCGGCATCTAATACCTATATATTTTTGAAAATATCGTGATCTGCACGTGCAATATATTATTTAAAAACAATATTAGGTATAGGTAATATTATATTAATATTATGCCTAGTAAAACATTTAAATCATATCATCTTAACAATTTTTGTAGATGTTTTTACCCAACCTCCAGTGCGGTTGTTCAAGTGTTAGAGGTTAAATTTATTTGAATCTAGAATATTATGTTATGATAGAAATCATAATTTATAATAATACAAAAAAACATTGAAAAAGTCACTTGATATTTCTTACTATATTTTTATTTTTTTGTCTTATTTTAGTTCAACAATGTTATAATTAAACGCTTTATCAATAATTAGAATGTAAGATTATGTGATAAAGAAGTCTGTGTGTTATCTGGACGTGTATATTATATTTGATAATGTTAGCTTTTGTAAACTTATAACTTTACCGCCGGTTCCAATACACACAAATGGTACACTGTCAATTTATACTAATTTATGAAGCTATATAATATTTTATTATATCATGTATTATTTCACAGCGTTGTGCCATTTAGGTGCGTTTTCAGTGTAAACAGGATATATAAATTACCGAAACATTATCAATCGTACGCAGCTATATATAATGTTAAATTATTAGTTTGATCAGTAAACGCACTCAAAATTGTTTATTTATTTATATTAATCCTTTTGCAGGAGCAGGATAGAGGGAAATACGACCGCTATGATACGGCGATGAGGGTACACCATCCCTCTCCATTTGCTCACGAATAAATGTCGGTCTAAAGTCGTATATCTGTTGCGTGCGGCGTAAGAGGGTTAATCGTCTGTACCGTTTTATTTATTTATTTTTTTTTTATGTATATACGAAAAGTGTGTGTAAAAAACGACAGCGGACTGTACTGCTGCTGTTCATTTTGCCAATCCAATCGCCGACACAATAGACGCACAAATGCAGCAAAGAATTTTCACATAATTCAATGTCTGTAGCTGCAGCTGCCGCCGCACTGGTCCGTTTCTATCATTAAACATTAGGATTGTTTGAAAGAGATTCTTCTTCTCGTTCTATATATAGGTATGCTTACGTCACGTCACGAATCACGATTCATTAATTTTAAGTTTTTTTTATATCTATATGACTAGATCTATATAGGTACCTCTCACTGCAGTTGAGCACATCATAATCATTTAAAAGTTATTTAGAAATGCATTTTTTTTTATAATTATTATTATTATGTAACAATAATAGCTTGTTACAAAACTAAAAATGACAAAAAAATATAGATTCAAATTTAGTATTCACTTATCCAAATATCATTTCCTATGGTTAGTACCTACATATATAAAAACTGCATAAAAATAAATACCCCCCCCCCCCATTAATGCAAGTATAAATTAATGATAATATCCAGTTTCAAATAATATTTGTCGTCAAAAATTAGAATTTACAAACAACCAATACCCTGCAAGTACAATAAAATATAGCTTTCAAATTCCATTATATTTTTTTATAATAGCGCGAACAAAAAATATGTGCCACCGTAACATATTGTGCTGCTCATGATTTATGCATTTTATTAATGTTGTGTTAAATGTAGCACTTTTTCTGTTGATACGAAGAAGTAGGTACTCCAAAATTAGGTATATACCATCTAATATAACAATATATTACGGTTTAAATATTATTTAATTATATTACAGCATAATATACGTGCAGTAGTATACTGCATACATTACATCGCATCTATAAATGGACACCTCATAGTGTTCTAAAGTTGAAATCTTCAGTATTTCTCAACGATTTCACTGTAGTTTCATTATAATTTATGATTACAGCGTGTCCGAAGAAAACTTATACCTCTACGGCTCTACGGTCAACCGTAGAAAATCGTGACAGAGCCGCAGGTCTACACATCTTGCTGGAGTTTCACACAGAACCGTTTTGTACGAATAAGATTGTATAATCGCTTTGAGGTTCAAAATGTGTGTTTGAAAAACTTATAGCCACTTGCCTGC